GTGCTGGGAGGGACGGGGGCGGGGGGGCTGTGGCAAATTTTGCGGTGACTAGCCCCCTCCCCCGTGGTCCCCTACCAGCACCGGCGCAGCCCCAGCCTGCCCCAGCAACCTGCCCCATGCAGATCTGGTGGCCACATGCCCTCCTGGGGTATGCATAGTGGTGGGAGTCGCCCCACAGACAAACCACTGCTCTGTCCCACATCCCATCCCACCCCGGGTGGGTAGCATCAGTCCCATCCCCACTCCCTTCCCCCTCCCCTTCCACCACAACAGACTTACCAGCAAGACACTGCTCTTCAACTGCTGGACTACGTCTTGGAAATCAGATTGGTATCGGCTGACATGCCTCCTTAAAAACTGGCTATTGATATTGGCCCCAGAAATCTCAGTCGGTGCACCCCTAGTAGTTACTGCACTCCAGCAGACTCCAGCATCAAATGTATCGGCATCCCTGCACTGAAAAACGGTGGCGGGGCACTTCAACGAAAGCTCATCAAATGAGCTTTAGTTAAAACACCCCCACTGCCGTTTTTCACAACAGGGACGCTGATGCACATGATGCTTCAGGCGCTTTAGTGAAGTGGCTCTTGGAGCCTCTCTAATTAAGGTGTTTCCCTCCCTCTCCCCAGCCTCCCAGGGTACATGTATAAATGCTACAGGTCTGTGTCATGCCTCTCAACTATTGCTAGGGTAATATGTGAAAAGTTGTCCTCTTTATCCATGGCTATGCCTGGTTGACAATTTGAAGAGCAAAATGAATAAGTCGAGTAATTTCCATTAGCGCAAACGCTCCTTTAAAGATAGTTAATAAAAATAAGGGATGAGGAGATCAGTTCATTCAAATTTAAAATATTCTCATACTTGTATTTATATTAAAACATTATCATTTTAACAATTAATTTAAGATTTCTGTAGTATTCTAAAATACTTTGCATTCATATTTTGTAGATGTATATTTTCAACATTAAAAATAACTTGTGCGTTATGCAGAACAGTTTTTCATTAAAATTTAAATTGGATGCAGTTAAACTCTTCTTTACCAGAACAGTCTGGATTCTAATGCATAATTGAGTTGTTGAAGCTTCTGGTCATGAAATCACTTATGTATTAACAGTATTTTTGTTTTCTTCAAAATGGAGGGTTTACTGCTATTCAAACAGTGGAGCTGAGCCTAGGTTTTTCAAATAAATACCTTTTAAAGCTGTTCTTATGTCTGATGGATTACCTTTTTGCAGTGTAAGATACTGCATTTCTTGAGATATTCTTTCCAATAGAATAATTTCTTTAAAGTGACTAAGTTTGATGAGACAGAAATAATTATTTCAAGGATGTGTTTCACTTCATGCCATTTATTTGAACCTCTGAATCTCTCTCTTTCTTTTTAATTGAGAAAATTTATATATTCACCAATTCTGTCTTTGCACAATTTTTGAGACACTGGGATCAATGTACCAGTAGCTCTAAGAAACATGTAGGAGCTCCCTTCACTTTTCTCTTTCCTCCATCATGTATTTTAACTTAATCCATTTTTTTCTTTTTTTAAACATGAAGATGATGTGGCAATTAGTATTAAACTCATCTGCTGTAGCATAGTTGAGTGATCCACGAAAAATATTTTGATTTGTTTTTCTTGTCTCTAATTGTAAATTGTATAATTTTCAGAAGCAATGTTGGCAAAGTTGTAAAGGAAGAGGGGTTTTATCTGTGTGCTGTGAAGTTCTAAGTGATATTTGTAAACTTTTTTTCAGTTTTTATATAAAAAATTGTGTAAAATTTAGTACTTCTTGCAATAAGTTGTTTCTCATCCAAGAAGAGTGTAGATGGGGGTTTAATAAAAAAAAAAAAAAAATGTTACCCAAGCTGAACAGTTCATTGGAGTAGCGTGAGCAGGACATGCCTGTTTCTGTATGCAGTAGTACACAAGAGTGACTGGACAGAATTATGTTTGACTGACCACCTTTGACTCTACAGAGTGAATTATCATGTACCATTCACAGCTGGATCAACTGAGGAAAGGCTTATGTGAGCATTCAGCATAAGTGTAGAGCAGGGCTTGAATTTGTGCCTCTTGAGTGGTAACAGGATGCCTTAACTTCACCACTTCTGTGGGCTGGCATGTGGGAGCTGGTAAAGATGACAAAGTTCTTATGGGTTCCACTACTGTTCCAAATCCAATGCGTAGAAGAAAAATTAGAAAATTACACGTTAAATTCGTTCTGCTTCTCAAGTAGTCTGCTGCTACCAGAGCTAGAATCTTTTAGGTCGTTAGGATAGAATTGAAAATAAACTTTGTTAAAAGGTAAAATACACAACGAGGACTTTTGAAAAGTACTGTAAATGGACAGTGGAAGAACTCTCTGTCTCCAGTAGCCAGTTGCATTCCAGAGATTTTAACCTATTGTATAAGTTAGCCAGAGGCTGTATTGCAGCATGGAGCTCTGGACTGAGGTTTTAAGACTAGTTCCCTTTTATGAATCTTAGAACTTTCCCTCTTGCCCCCAAATAAGTTGGGATGATTCCTTTGTCTGTGGCTTGTAGATATCTGGGAAATTTTCAAAGCCCTAAAAAGAGCTAAGTATACAAATGTAAATGTGGTGAAATTCTTCAAACAGTTTACAATGATTCCATTGTTTAAAGCAACCAGTTTTGCTCAATTTGAGCCCAAAGCTGCTTGGTTGTGTAGAACTTTGATCCAAGATTAGTTATAAATACTACCTGATTGGCTTTCTGTGGGCAGTGGAATAAATGCCATGATTTCTTTGATTTCTTTGTCACTAGTAGCTAAACTGGTTGTTAACAACCCTGTCTTAACCTTGTCTTCGCAGTATTTCTTCCATGTATATCTGAAAAGACCATGTGCTTATGTAAATACAGTGGGTGTTACAAGACTGCTTGATTATCTGCAACTATTCCTAAATTCAGCTAGTTCTTCCTCTCAACTGTAGTTAATAATGTATTATGCCAGAATAGATTTGAGTTTAATCATAAGCCTTTCTCCTTTCTTTAATAGCAAGCAACACAAAAATTTATGCCCTCCTTTGACCTAGATCTCATTTGTGCGATATGTTATTTTCTTGGCTGTTCTTTGATTCATCCTTTTTAAATTTATTTCTGGATCATGAATCGTTTTAGACAGGTGGCAGGAACAGCCTCTGGCTCCAGTGCTCAGGAGGAGCCTGTGTTTTTTTCTCTTATTTTTGTGCTAGATGAGAACTCCCCTACCCCCTGCCAATTCCAGAGAATGTTCTGCTTAAGTACTTCAGAAAACTATTTTGATTTCTTATGAGTCAATTAAACCTATGTTTAAATAGTGTATCTTTAAGTTCTTATTTAAAATCATGCAGGTGTAGTATGCTGTGTAGTAACAGCAGAGTTTTTAAAAATATAGCAAATTACTAATTCCTACCTTTTAGTAGGAAATTCTCTGGGGAATCCTAATTTATTATCTTTGTCCACAG